TATTATTGTGCTGCTCTTGATGCCTTTCTCTATTAGCAATACCAAAGACTTTTCTGTTATGTGATTATTTATAGTAAAAAGAGTTTTGGCCTGATAGTCATTGGACCTAGGATTTGAGAATACTCCTAGTTGTGACTATGTAAAAGCCGCCTAATTTGTTGAGTTTCAGTGTCCAAAACTACAAAATAAAAATAGAAACAAGAAGAAATAATTGCTAACTTTCTTTTCAACCCCTGAATTCTATGACTCTTCCCATCTCTCTATATTTTATGAATTGATGCATGAATATGTGTGCAGAACAGGTGATCAAGGTAGCTGCCATGCACAACAGCAAAGGAAGTGAACCTCACAGGACTTGAATATTAGAATAAGCAAGGCTACAGAATAGAGAATAAGAAGCACTTCTTCTTTTTTGTTATTTTGTTTTCTTAGTTATTTTAACTTCTGCTAATCCCTATGATAGCATTAGTCAACTCAGCAAAACAAGTCATATGGTATTCTGGGCTTCTACCAAAGGAAACATAAAATGCTGCTATAGCCGGTAAGAATTGGGAACTGGAAAACCAAAAAAAGGAAGTTAGAAGAGATAGCATCCTTACTGGATTAACCGAATAAGAATTAAAATTTTTAATTTAATAGAAAAAGAAAATAAACCCCAAGTATGAGCATCCATCCATTCAAGTAATCTTTAATCCTTACATCTTACAAAGCATTGTGTTAAATTCTGTGGAGCAAGTATTTGGAAATAAGATTTTTTTTTTTACCATTCTATTCTGAAACTTAAGGCTAGAATAATAGACAAGACAGCCATGAAAATAATTGTAATGCAGAACAAAATGCACCATTGCACAGAGGGTTAAACCCCACCATACACACACAAAATTTAGGAGGCTGAAGAACTAAATTATGATTGGGATTTTAAGAGAGGTTTCAAGGGAAATATATTTGAGCTTGATCTTGAAGAGTGACTAGGATTTCAACAGACAGGGATTAAGAACGGAGGAAAGAGGAGGTTAAGGTATAGAATATCATTCCAGACAGAAGTAAACAGCAGTCGCCAAGGAATAGAAAATGGCATTGACTTGGAATAATGAGTTGTTCAGGAAAGCTATAAAGTAGGGTATGTTTACGGGAATGTTAAAAATTATAGGAATTTCCCTGGCAGTCCAGTGGTTAAGAATCTGCCTTCCAATGCAGGGTAAGTGGGTTTAATCCCTGGTCATGAAACTAAAATCCCACATGCCACAGGACAGTTAAACCCATGAACCACAACCAGAGAGCCCACGTGATTCAGCAAAGACCCAGCACAACCAAAAAAAAAAAGAAAAGAAAGTTAGGGAAGGGTTATGTCACAGAGGCCAAGAGAAAAAGAGTGATAAGAAGCCAGTGTAAAGTAATAGGGATATTGTGGAGGATAAAGATAGAGAAAAAGATGTTTCCATTTGTTCTCTAGAGGTAGTTTTAGCAAAGTGATGGGATAGAAGACTAATTACAAAGGGTTAAGAAGTGACTGGTGAGAACAACAGACCCCAAAACAAGCCAGTATCCTTGAAAAAGAAAAGCTGCTAAATTAAAAGACTCAAGAAATATCCTGATGCAGAGTGTGATCCTTAACTGATACAATTGTTGACAAATCAGCTATAAGGGATATTTTGGGGATAGTGGGAAAAAATGGATAAAGTCTGAATATTCGTCAAGGTAAGTCTTACTGTAAATATGGAGACTGCTAAATGAGAAAAGTGATCAAAGAAAGCAGTTTATATAAAGCAATATGCATTTACACCCATGTTCATAGCAACAGCATCCACAATAGCTAAAATGTGGAAGCAACTCCAATGTCCATCAACGATGAATGGATAAACAAAATGTGGTACACACATACAGTGGAATATTATTGTCTTAAAAAGGGAGAGAATTCTGACACATGCTACAACATGGATGAACCTTGAGGACATTTTGCCAAGTGAAATAAGCCAGTCACAAAACGACAAATGCTTTAGGGTTCCATCTATACAAGGGATCTAGAGCAATCAATCCTAAAAGATGATGCTATTAAAGTGCTGCACTCAATATGCCAGTAAATTTGGAAAACACAGCAGTGGCCACAGGACTAGAAAAGGTCAGTTTTCATTCCAGTTTAAAACAAGGGCAATGCCAAAGAATGTTCAGGCTACAGCACAATTGCACTCATTTCACATGCTTGCAAGGTAATGCTCAAAATTCTTCAAGCTAGGCTTCAACAGTATGTGAATCGAGAACTTCCAGATGTTCAAGCTGGATTTAGAAAAGGCAGAGGAACCAGAGATCAAACTGCCAACGTCTGTTAGATCATAGAAAAAGCAAGAGAATTCCAGAAAAATATCTACTTTTGCTTTATTGACTATGCCAAAGCCTTTGACTGTATGGATCACAAGAAACTGGAAAATTCTTCAAGAGATGGGACTACCAGACCACATTATCTGCCTCCTGTATGCAGGTCAAGAAGCAGCAGTTAGAACTGGTCATGGAACAACAGACTGGTTCCAAATTGGGAACGGAGTGTGTCAAGGCTATATATTGTCACCCTGCTTATCTAACTTATATGCAGAGTACATTATGCAAAACGCTGGGTTGGGTGAAGCACAAGCTGGAATCAGAATTGCTGGGAGAAATATCAATAACCCCAGATATGAAGATGACATCACCCTTATGGCAGAAAACAAAGAGAAACTAAAGCACCTCTTAATGAAAGTGAAAGAGGAGAGTGAAAAAGTTGGCTTAAAACTCAACATTCAAAAAAATGAAGATTATGGCATCCGGTTCCATCACTTCTTGGCAAATAGATGGGGAAATAATGGAAACAATGACAGACTTTATTTTCTTGGGTTCCAAAATCACTTCAGACAGTGACTGCAGCCATGAAATTAAAAGACTCTTGCTATGACCAACCTAGGCAGCATATAAAAAGCAGAGACATTACTTTGCCAACAAAGGTCCATGTAGTCAAACTATGGTTTTTCCAGTAGTCATGTATGGATGTGAAAGTTGGACCATAAAGAAAGCTGAGCACCAAAGAATTGATGCTTTTGAACTGCGGTGTTGGAGAAGACTCTTGAGAATCCCTTGGACTGCAAGGAGATCAAACCAGTCAATCCTAAAGGAAATCAATCCTGTATATTCATTGGAAGGACTGATGATGAAGCTGAAGCTCCAATACTTTGGCCACCTGATGCAAGGAGCCGATCCACTGGACTCTGATGCTGCGAAAAATTGAAGGCAGGAGGAGAAGGGGATGACAGGGGATGAGAAGGTTGGATGGCATTACCAACTCAATGGACATGAGTTTGAGCAGGCTCTGGGAGGTGGTGAAGGACAGGGAAGCCTGGTGTGCTGCAGTCCATGGGGTTGCAAAGAGTTGGACAGGACTGAGAGACTGAGCAACCAAGAGTAGTCAAACTCACAGAAACCAAAAGCAGGCTGGTGATTGCCATGGACTTCGGGGAAAGGGAAGTGAGGAGCTGTTTTTTTAAAGATAGAGAATTTCAGCTTTACAAGATGAGAAAGTTCTAGAAATTGACTGTACAATAATGTAAAAAACCCAACACTACTGAGCTGTACCCTTAAAAATGGTTAAGATGGTAAATTTTGTTACATGTGGTGGTGTTGGTTTAGTTGCTCAGTCATGTCTGACTCACTGCAACCCAACTGTAGCCCTCCAAGCTCCTCTGTCCATGGGATTTTCCAGGCAAGAATACTGGAGTGGGTTGCCATTCCCTTCTCCAGGGGAACCTTCCTGACCCAGTGATCAAATTCATATACTCTGCATTGCAGATGGATTCTTTACCAACTGAGCCACTGTATTTCACCACAATTAAAACAATTTAAATACCAGTATACACAGTATAATCTAATTTCATTAAATTTTTCTTAATAAAAAATACACATACATATAGTACACACATATGAATGTGAATAAAGATCCAGAAAAATGTAAATTAAGATACTAAAAGTGTGGGAATTCCCTGGTGGTCCAGTGGATAAGACTTTGTCCTCCCAATGCAGGGGGCCCGGGGTTCAATTCCTGGTCAGGGAACTAGATCCCACATGCTGCAACTAAAGATCGCACATGCAACTAAGACCTGACATAGCCAAATAAATAAAAATATTTTTAAAAAGATATTTAAGAGTAATCACTGATTAGTGGTATATAATATTTTTATTTTCTTATTTTTGCTTGTTTATATTTTTTAATTTTCTTCATGAATGATTTCTGTTTCTGTAATAATCAGGCTATTTTACCCAAGGTATATTCATAAAAAACAAATAAGAAAGCAATGATGGGTGGTAAGGAAATCAAGGGCTTCCCAGGTGGCGTTAGTGGTAAAGAACCCACCTGCCTATGCAGGAGACTTAAGGACATGGGTTTGATTCCTGGGTCAGGAAGATTCCCGGGAGGAGGGCATGACAATCTGGAGTACATGACAATTCCAATATTCTTCAGTGGAAAATCCCATGGACAGACATTGCCTGGTGGGCTAACAGTCCACAGGGTCGCAAAGGGTCAGGCACAACGGAAGCGACTTAGCACAGCACATAGTTGATTTACCATGTTGTGTTAATTTCTGCTGTAAAGCAAAGTGACTCAGTTATACACGTACATTTTCTTTTTCATATTCTGTTCCATTATAGTTTATCACAGGATACTAGATACAGTTCTGTGTGCTTTACAGTAGGACCTTGTTGTTTACCTATCCTATATATACTAGTTTGCATCTGCTAATCCCAAACTCTCAATACTCCCCTTTCCCTTGGCAACCACAGTCTGTTCTCTATGTCAGTACAGTAGATTTAAAATTGTCTTTCAGAGTATGTTTTTGAGTAATCCGATGTGAAGTTAAGGAATATAAAATAAACCAGTGTTAGGGTCTTTGTGGCTCTACCTCTTTAAGTTAGAATTCTATGAATATGCTTTTTTTTTTAGTTTTAATATTTTGGTTTATATTTTTACAGAAGTTTTAGCAATGGAGTCTTTCTCTGCTGAGACCAATTCAACTGACCTACACTCACAGCACTGGGATGAACCCCATGTAATTCTCTCCATGGTCATCCTCAGCATCACTTTTCTACTGGGGTTGCCAGGCAATGGGCTGGTGCTGTGGGTGGCTGGCCTAAAGATGCAACGAACAGTGAACACAGTTTGGTTTCTCCATCTCACCTTGGCTGACTTCATCTGCTGCCTCTCCCTGCCCTTCTCTCTGGTCCACTTGGTTCTCCAAGGACACTGGCCCTATGGCTGGTTCCTATGCAAGCTCATCCCTTCCATCATCATCCTCAACATGTTTGCCAGTGTCTTCTTGCTGACTGCCATTAGTCTGGACCGCTGTCTGTTGGTACTCAGGCCAATCTGGTGCCAGAATCATCGCAACGTGGGTACAGCCTGCACTATCTGTGGTTGTATCTGGGTGGTGGCTTTGGTAATGTGCATACCTGCTTTTATATACCGGGAGACATTCACTATAGACAACCAGAGTATGTGTGGATACAACTTTGGTCACGATGGCTCATTAGATTATCTAGACTTCACCTTTGATCTACTGGAAAATGGGTCTTTTGACAACTCCATTGTTGATCCGCCTGGAGAAATGGATGACAGGTTAGATTCCTTCTCGCCACAAACCAAGGATCAGCCTTGGGCAGCCACCACTGGCCTCCCTTCCCAAAAATTTCAAAGAACTTCTAGAGATTCACTCCCTATGGATTCAGCTAGATTATCTGTTCAACAACCACATTATGATCTATTTCAGTCTGCTGATGAAGTCTCAGCTACACTCTCCAGTGACTTTCCCATTGAAGATCACAGAACTCACCCCCTGGAGAACTCGGATTCTTTTCTCCCTGCTGATTTTGAGTTTTTTCCTAATGCCTCCAGGGATTCCTTATACATATCTGAGCTATCACAAGGTTTCCAGGATGATTATTTTGGCCAATTTGCATATGATAATCAAGTGCCAACACCCCAGGTAGCCATAACCATCAGTAGGCTAGTGGTGGGTTTCCTGTTGCCCTTTATCATCATGGTGGCCTGTTATAGCCTCATTATTTTCAAAATGCGTCGGAGCCGCTTCACCAAGTCTCGGAGCAAACTCTTGAGAGTCGCTATGGTGGTGGTAGTTGTCTTCCTTGTCTGCTGGGCTCCATACCACATTGTTGGAGTCCTCTTATTGTTTACTGACCCAGATGATCCCTTTGGGAAATCTCTGTTGTCCTGGGACCATGTGTCTCTTGCTCTAGCATCTGCCAATAGTTGCTTCAATCCATTCCTCTATGCTTTCCTGGGAAAGGACTTTAGGAGAAAAGCAAGACAGTCCATGCAGGGAATTCTCGAGGCAGCTTTCAGTGAGGACATGACACACTCTACCAGCTGCCCCCAAAACAAAACGTCTTTCGAAAGAAACAGTATCAGTACAGTTGTATGAAAACATGGAGCCACTGACCTAAGCAGATGTTCTTAGGCAAATGTAACATGTTTCTTAAAAGACAGGAGAGATGGGGAGCAGGGGGGTTCTTGCCGAGACCGTCAAAGAATCCATCTGGAGGTTCTCAAAGTGTGGTCCCAGACTAGTGGCATGAGCATCACCTGGAAAGTTGTCAGAAGTACAAATTCTCCAGCCCCTTCCCCTGCAGGCTGGCTGAATCCGAATCTCTGGGGGTAGGGTCCCAAGAGTGTTTGCACAAGCTCTCTTGTTTCTGATGAATGCTAAACTTGGGAATCACTGTAAAGATAGTCTATTTCGATCCCCAAAAAAGGCACGTGAGATAAATGAGAATGCAGTCTGCTTAAAAATGATGTTTCAAAAAAAAAATAATGTTTCCATTGTCAAATGTTTTATAAATTTCCTTCCAGATTCAATTTCAAACCATTTCTTCTAGCGCTCCCTGAGTGAAAGATGATCTTTTATTCAATGGCTTTGTTGGGGTGATGGCAGTGGTGATGGTTTTAAATGAAAAAAAAAAAAAGGGGTGGCAAAAAGAAAAAAATCTAAAAACAAGGAACAGCTCTAAAAGGACTGTTTCTGAATAAAGTTGGTGCAACATGTGAAAAACAAACAAGGAGTTATGAGACTGAGTTGGAAGCAAGTACAATGCCAGATGCCTGCTACTTGGAATATTTCTGGATACAGGACACAGGAATTCTGAGTTGCCTTCGTTACAGCTAAATAAGCATCTATTATGTAAAGACTACTTAGGGCACCTAAGAACTTTCTCATGAAATTGTATATGTCACAGTTTGGGCAGATGGCTCCTCTGTTTGTTTGCTCTAACTGCTTATTGATAGAATCATCTCTCTTTTGTTCCTTTTCTTAAGCTCCTTAATTCCCTTACTTCTCTCCTGCCTCGAAATCTCCTTCCAGGCTTTTTGCCTCTAATAACCGATACTTTCATAACACACAAATGACTCACTTGCTCTCACTACTCCTCAAGTAACTTATTTCAAACAAAAGGAGAAAGAGTAGAAGATGAGGGAACTATTCTTGAATTCACTGCAAAATAGCTGAGTACCCTCTGGGCTTGTTACCCATCCAACTCCTAAAAACATGATTGTAGGTTTGTATTTTTCACACCAAAATTATCAGATGTATCTGGGTTTTTTTTTTTAATCTTTATCTTTACCAATGTAATACATGCACACAGTTTTTTAAAGAGAAACCAATGCTCAAGATGAAATCTAAGAGGTTTCTTGCCCCACTCTGGCCAGCTTCTCCTTCCTCCCACTCCCACTACCCAGAGATAACCCTTGAAACCACAAACTGAGATGTTCCTTCTGAAATTTGCCATGATATTTCTAAGTCATGACCTTATGATGCTAGTTTTTGTACACAATAAATTACTTTTTATTTTGGAAGAGGGAGAATTTTTTCTAAACAACTTCATATTTTGTGTTTATGCAGCATCCCAATATTCACTAACCATCATCCTTTAATTTGTTCACAAGCACACATTTTCTTCTACTTTGTTGATCCATTCCAATCACACTTCTTTCATTTTTAAAAAAGCATTCTCCAACCCCATCACCTTCTCATTTTTTTCTGTATATGAAGTTTTATGTATGGATATTAATTATCTATATTTTCAGGTTTGTTTATACTATAACTTAGCCTCATCTGAGTCCAGGGATTTAACCTGAAACATAGAAAATATGTAAAGCACAGATGTAAAACGAATTGCAAAGCACTGTTCCTTGTTAAGTGGTGGAGGGGAGGATCTGGACTACAAATGAGTTATAAAGTGCTATGTGGAAAATTTTCAAATCATTAGGAATGCTCTCACTTGTGCAGTAATGATATCCAAGATGATGTGATTTGTCATGCTACTTTCCAATTTAATCTGCTCATATATTTGATGTGAATAAATGCTTTCTCTCTCCACGGTTCCTTGCAAGGCTCAGAGATTCATGGATCCTTTTAATTGTTTGACACTCAGGATATATTATAATCTCTAAACATACAGCAAATAAAACTCATAGTGGGTAGCTGTAGGCTTGCTGTAATGACGATTAGCTAGGTTCCTGGAAATCCCAACATTCTCATGGGACCCTGGATAGAAGTCTCAAACTCTTAGGGCTAGTGTACAGGATACCAGGGTGACTGATCTTCGCATAGTTATCCCAAGTTGGCATACCTGTTCAATAGTTGACATTTCTGGGCTCCTTTTGAGAGTTCTGTTTCCCTTGGAAATGTATTCTGAAGAAATTTGCCTGAAGTCCCAGAGGGGGAGCCAAGTCCTTCTCAAATTGTAGCATTTTTAATCTTTAAAATACCCCAGAATGCAAGCAAGGCAGTTTAGTCCACACATCAAGCTTCAAGGCGGGATGGGCTGCCTCTCCCAACAATATTTTGTCATAATTAACAGCATTAAAAGAAAAATGCTAGAGCCATGCTTTTAATCTTCCTTTCTTATCAGTATTACCAAAAACATCAGGGTTCGATCCTGTGGGGGAGCGAGGGGGAGGGGCAGTAGAAAACAAATGATTTCACATTTCCCTTTTCCCTACTCTGGCAAAAAAGAAATTCAAGACCAGCACCTGGAAGATAAAACCACAAACATTCTTTTTGTTTTTTGGTTTTTTTATTAAGAAAGCATGCAAAAAACAACAACAACAACTTGTGAGCCCATACACCCCCCCTTCCCAGCCTGCGCCAATGCAAAGCATTATGGGTGGTATGAAGGACTCACCACACCCGAAACATGGGGGTTGAAGACAGAAAGGCAGGGACGGGTGGATGGATACCAAAGAATTGATCCTTCTGTCCCTCTCCCCCACGCTCTCCTCTATTTCCTCTTTTGGCAGTGAGCTCCTGCAGTTTTGCACATGTCACCCAAGACAACAACAATGACTAAACTTTCAAGGCTGGCAATGCTGGATCGACAAGAAAAAGGAGTATTCTTTCCCTTTCAGGGAGGGGAGGGGAAACTGAGGCCCAAAGAGAGTTGGGTTTGTCCTGTGCCGTTTAGCGAGGCTGGTTTTAGTGGAGAGGGGGGCTAAAGGCCCCAAAGGCCTAACGGCCCATCTCCAGCCCAAGCCCCAAACTTCAGTGACTGGATGCCCACCAGAGTTCTCGTTTTCAGAAGACACAGATAAACTATACAGAGGAGACATATCCATGTCTGATTTAGTCTACCCTGGCAAATCTTGTGTGGATCTGGGTAGAAGAGGGGTTGAGAAATGTGATGATTTATAAGAGAGGAAATCTTAAGAAGAACAGATGGGAACTGTGTGTAGGAGGCACCCTGACTGGAAGGATAAGGAAGACACGCCTCAGATGGGACACTGGGCTAAGGCGTGTCACCACCCTGGAAGAGAAATTCTCCTTTCCCCAATGGGAAATCTTATGCCATACTTCAACCCCACAAACTGCCCTCCAACACAACAGGGGGTTCAAGCCACTCACACCCCCACGTCTTACTAAGAACTTCGAAGAAATAAAGTGCTGTTTAGTTAACTGCCCTTTCTTGCCCCCCTGACTTCAGCCTCACTGGACTTATTCAACAAACTCTCAATAGAGAACCCTTTACAAAGAAAGGAAGGGGAGGATGAGGGGGAAAGCAGGAGAGCGGAAAGCATGGGTAAATAAAAGGACAGGAACAAAAACCAGAAATCACAGAGACAGTGGCCTTGTCCATTCCGCACATTTTGTCCTACAACTTTGAGAAAGTGACCATTTGGTAAAATAAAAATGGAAATAAAACTGTTCTTCCTTCTCAGAACTAGAATTCAACAATTAATATCCAATATATGCTAAGTACTTTGCAGCCATAAACCATGGCCACTCCTTGATAAAGGAGGTAAGTTTTCCCTGTACCTTTTCCAGGGGCGGGGGGGTGGGGGGGGCGGTCCTTCCTTGGCCCTCATGGAGCTCTTTGTTTTTGGTTATTTATTACCCTCTCCCAAGTTCCTTAATCCCTCAAAAAACCTGATTGCAGAAGCTTCAGCCCCAGTGATCTGGATTCCAAGAGAAGCATTTGCCTACGTAGTTAAATAACTGAAATATTCCCTATGCATGTCTATACCAGCTCCCCTTTCCTCTCTCACCCTCCTGTCACCAGTACTGTAGGTTTGGTTCTGCTTTGCACTGTGGGAAACAGATTCCAGTCTTGCCTGAGGACATGGTGAGACTAAACGGAATCATGGGTTACTCTTCTTTCTTGAGAATCCCAGAAAACGGGAGAAGAAAATTTGATGGGTGGAACAGTTGGGCAGACAACTGAAGGAGGATGAAATAATATTTGCCAAATGAGATAAGGGCATGAAAGGATAACTAGTAAATGCAAATAAAAGCCACAGTTAATTTCCAGAGAACATGATGTTTAAAAAGACAGAATGGTTCAATAGAAACCCTCTCCAAAAAGCTGACCCTATGCTGAAGGGTTGTCCTCATTTCCACCAGAGAAGCAGCACATCCATGCTAAGTTGCTTCAGTTGTGTCCAACTCTGCAGCCCTATGGACTGTAGCCCACCAGGCTCCTCTGTCCATGTGATTCTCCAGGCAAGAAGACTGGAGTGGGTTGCCATGCCCTCCTCCAGGGGATCTTCCCAGCCCAGGGATGGAACTCACATCTCCTGTCTTGGCGGGCGGGTTCTTTACCACCTCACACCACCTGGGACACCCTGAAGAGAAGCAGAGTTCTGGCTAGGACTGACTCTACATCCTATAGAGAATAGGCCAGGAATAAGTCAATGGCAGTTTATTTGACAAGAGTGGAAGACACCCAATTTCTGACTGTTTTGTATTCCATCACCCCTCTACAGCGTTCTACTCTACCCAACCCAGACCTCTTATTCCACTAGGATTTTATCTCCACCACCATCACTCTTACCCTTGATGGGGAATGAGGACCAGCAGAAGTAAGACTGGAGATATAAAGGGACAAGGAAGAGCTCAGAGGACAAAATTAGCACCATTGAGTAAAACCTGCAAATTCATGGCTGCCAAGCAGCATTTTAAATCCCTTCTACTTGATGATGTGGCCTCTTCAGCCCTGGATTGAACTGATATCCACAGAAAACAACATAGGGCTGAAAGGTGGGATTAGCACGGAATTGCCCAAAGAGAAAGGTAAATCAAAGTTTGAGACCTTTCGCTGTGGCTCTCATGGCCTCACCTTCCAGCCAGATGACTTTAAATTAGGCAAGAGGTGGACATGGACCATGGTGTGGGGACAGGAGACTGGAGACAGCATATAACCAATAATAATAATAATAATAATATAATAAGAATAATAATAAAAGAATTAGGAAAAAAAACAAGAAGGAAGAGGAAGAATGAGGCAGGAAAGAGGGGGTTATCTTCGGCAGCATCTTGCGGTGGCTTCTCTGGCAGAGAAAGAAAAAAAAAAGGATATATATCTATATACAGGCAAGGGCGGAAGGGTGGGTGGGGGCTGGGCTTCCCCCACTGCCCTGTGTCACCACCCAGCCCTGGGCTGATGGCCAGGCTCTCGAATGCACTAGGTAATCAAGTCCCAGTCGAAGTCATCTGGGATCTCCTCACTGGCCCCAGGAGGTGGGACCGGTGGCCGAGGGACCATGTGATGTGCTGTGGAAAAAGAAAAGGAGATTAAGAGGAGAGGGTATAGGAGGCCTTTCTGTCCACCTCGATGGACGGTGGTCAACCACAAGCACCACCAGGGGGAAGGTCCGGGAAAACTACCGTCCTTACCAGTTCAGTTATTTTTTTCTGCCCGCCACCACTTCAGTGAGGTCCCAGGAAAGAAACTAGAGTAAACTATGCCATACAGCAATGTAACAGCAGTAAAATGTAACAGCCATTAAAAATAATACTTATGGGGAATGCCCTGGTGGTCCAGGGGTTAGGACTCCTTGTTTTCACTACTTAGGGCCCGGGGTTCGATCCCCGGTCAGGAAACTAAGATCCCACAAGCCATGTAGAGTGGCCAAAAATAAAAAATTATATTTTTGAAGACTATATAATAACAACAAAAAACATACAGAATATACTACTTATTTGAAATAGCAATACAGAGATCTGTGTATAAGAAGGAATACATGGACAAAGACCCCCTAAGTTGAAAACACTGTGGTTAGGTGGGATGATAACAGTGGTCTTTCTAAAATGCATTTAAAGGTGAAGGATCTGTTCATTTTGCACTCTTTATGACAATTTAGGGTATCCACGCTGACTCCCACCAACAGAGATAGTTCAACCCCAAACCCCTGACACTAGAGGTCAGGTGACATGGGCACAAAGCAGGTGCATGTATGTAACATGTTCATTTATCTGAGTGCATCTTCCATCCAGATTCTGAAGTGAGGCATACATGTTCTATTTGTCAGTCTTTTGTTTATAATCATGCTTCTACTTTCTTTCATCACCGTAGGCATGGGTTAACTTTAAAGCACATTGATCTTCTCTTGTCTCCCATGACATACACCTCCCTAGCAGGCAGCCCACCCTCAGTCTCAGGAACCAGGAAGGCTCACCCGCTCCGACAGGTGCAGGCCAAAGGGCTCAGAATGCAGGCTTGGAGCCACAGGAAAGCCAAACTCGCTGGTGCTTAAAACAAGCCTCCTGGCTCTTACCTGGGCGACTGTATCCTGCTGAGTCCTGGGTGGGGAGTGGGTACATTGGTGATGGGCCAGGGTAGAGATGGGGGGCTTGAGGGTGCACGTAAGAGTTCACTGCTGTGAAAGCAAGACAAGAGTTAAGTGAGTGGGACCCCTGTACTCAAGGAAGCAGAGTCCAATAGAGAGGATGATGTACTCCCCATCGCCTTCAGCTCTTCTCCCTTCCCCACTCTGTTCTGTAGCTCCTGTAGGCATCAAGGCTTTCTGCAGAAGCTTTCAGTCCTAGTCACTTAGGGTACAAAGGCACCCGAAACTAGCACCTGCAACATCACAGCTATCAGCAGGGTGATAAACCCAGAACCTTAATCACTGACTGTCCCTCACTTCACTGGTTTGCCGATCATGACCCTATGTGATACGATCCAGGGAGGGGTTTCCTGAGACACGAATTTAGAACAGGGACTTTCTCTTCCCTTTTCTTAAGTAACCATGACCTCCCAGATCAAGATCTAAAAGGAAGACTTCCCTTGGAGTCCAATGTCTAAGAATCCACGTGTCAACACAGAGGACACGGGTTCAATCCCTGCTCCAGGAAGATGCCACAAGCCGTGGGGCAACCAAGCCCGTGTGCCACAGCTACTGAAGCCCGTGAGCCCTAGAGCCTGCACCCCACATCAGGAGAAGCCACCACAATGAGAAGCCTGCCCACCCTGACTTGAAAGCAGCACCCACTCACTGCAACTAGAGAAAAGTCTGTGCGAAGCAACCAAGACTCAGAGCAACCAAAATACAGTCTATTTCTTTGGCATTTGGATCAGTGCCCGTAAGCTGATGTTTCCCAGTTCTCTTCCGCCCTTCTCATGCCCCTTCCTTCACATCATCCAGTCTCCACCTCCTTGGCAACTGGCTTCGTGCAGTACCTTGGTTCATGGCCGGCTCCTGCTTGCCACTGGTGAGGGCACAGGAGTCCGCGATGCGGGTGGGGGCGGGTGGCCGGTGGGAGCCCCCCTGGGGGAGCACGTGACCAGTCTGAGTGAGGAAGTGGTTGAGGGAGTCACACAGATTGGCAATGTGATGCTGGTCCAGGCTCCAGTTCTTCTGCTCTGCCTGCCGCAAGCTTTCCATCAGCTCTGCCAGTAAAGAAGCAAGAAATGCTAACTCCTTTTATTTTGTGATAAGTTGTGAGATTTCAAATTTTAATTTTTGCTTTCTGAATTTATCTATTGCTTGACAGCATTATAAAAAAATAAACTGCCTAGTCCATTAAAAAAAAAAAAGAAATGCTAACCTTGCCAAAGCCCCAACACCCCTAGTGGTTCTATACCTAAGTCACTGCTCCAGTCATACTATCAGTCAACACCACTGATTATCTGTGCTACCAAGGAGATGGCAACCCACTCTAGTATTCTTACCTGGAAAACCCCAAGGATAGAGGAGTCTGGTGAGATCCACAGTCCATGTGGTTGCAAAGAGTCAGACATGACTTAGCAACTAAACAACAACCCCAAATAATTGACATCTACATTTTCAAACTCTCATTCTATTTCTTCCTTACCAGATTCATATGATTATCATCTTACTAGTGAAAAAAAGTTTCAAAGTAATTGAGTGAATTAGCCGTGGTCATATTGTCAGTCACAAATTTTCCTGGGAAGAATACTGGAGTGGCTTGCCATTTCCTCCTGCAGAGGATCTTCCTGACCCAGGGATCGAACCCCATGTCTCCTGCATCTCCTGCATTGGCAGGTGGATTCTTTACCACGTGCCACCTGGGAAGCCCCCATACTGTCAATAAATGGTGGCTAAACTATAAAACGGTGATCCAGGGTTTCTGAATAAAGAGTCCTCCTTCTCCCAGAGATAAAATTGAGTAGAATAAACCACTGTCATTTTGAATAAAGGCAAAAATTAATCAAGATAAAAATCTGGCTTAAAACTCAATATTCAAAAAACAAAGATCATGGCATCTGGTCCCATCACTTCATGGCAAATAGATGGGGAAACAATGGAAACAGTGACAGACTTTATTTTCTTGGGCTCCAAAATCACTGCAGATGGTGACTGCACCCATGAAATTAAAAAACACTTGCTCCTTGGAAGAAAAGCTATGACCAACCTAGACAGCATATTAAAAATCTGAGACATTACTTTGCTGACAAAGGTCCGTCTAGTCAAAGCTATGGTTTTTCCAGTAGTTGTGTATGGATGTGAGAATTGGTCCATAAAGAAAGTTGAGTACTGAAGAATTGATGGTTTAGAATGGTGGTGTTGGAGAAGACTCTTGAGGGTCCCTTGGACTGCAAGGAGATCAAACCAGTCAGTCCTAAAGGAAATCAGTCCTGAATATTCATTGGAAGGACAGATGCTGAAGTTGAAGCTCCAATACTTTGGCCACCTGATGTGAAGAACTGACTCACTGGAAAAGACCCTGATGCTGGGAAAGATTGAAGGCAGGAGAATGAGATGGTTGGAGGTATCACCGACTCGATGGACATAAGTTTGAGACAGGTAAGCCTGCCATGCTGGAGTCCATGGGGTCGCAAAGAGTCAGACACCACTGAGTGACTGAATGAAAGATTAACTTGAAGAAGGTATCAATATTATCCACCTTGTGTAACATGAAATCCTCCATCCTCAAGCTTTACTTGGAGAAGGAAATGGCAACCCACTCCAGTATTCTTGCCTGGAAAATTACATAGATAGAGGAGCCTGGCGGGCTATAGTCCAAGGGGTCACAAAGAGTCAAACATGACTGAGCATACAAGCTTCACTTAACCATCCCCTCTGGTTCCAGTTTCCATTGGGTTTTTCCACTTACACTACATCCCTCAACGCCCCCCCCCCCCCCCCGCCCCCAGGCACCACTGGTTCTTCTGTTTTGTTTTTTCTTATTTTAGGCACCATCACTCAAGTCACCAACCTGAGAACTGTGACTGCTCAATGCTGGACCAGTTGAGCCGGTTCACCATCTTAAAGCTTTCCTTTAAGGAATCGATGTTGGAGCACCAGTCTGGAGGAAAAGCTGTGAAGAGGAAGGGGATGGGGAAGACGACAGAGTGAGGGGTGAGACAGTCATCAACTGACAACAGGCTGAGTTATGAATGTAAGATTCTTGCATCTACACAGGTTATCGGTTGCATTACCAAGATAACTTTGGACTCTCCCTCACTGGAGATTTAAGACAAACTGAGCTATTGATGCTTTAATTACAAACAGCCCAGCTCACAGACAAGAGAATAAGTAAAACAATCCAAATTTGTCTAAAAATTCTCTTAATATAGAGCTCCAATTTGCAACTTCTGTTACCCACAGGAGCTCTGGTGGGAGAGTAAGGCTAAAAGAGCCACTATTGGGACTTTCCTGGTGGTCCAGTGGTTACGACTGCCCTTCCAATGCAGGGCGGGGCAGGTTCGATCTCTCCCGGGAGAAGGAGGATCCCAAGTACCAGTAGGCCCGGAAACAAATAAAAGACCGGCGGTTAATTTCCTAGCCAACCCCATCTCCTTCCAGAGTCAGAACAGGGAGGTCGGCTGGCAGTCCTTCGGGGGCTCCGCGCACCTCGCCTACTCACCAAAGCCAGTGCTGTTGATGGGCGCCTGGCCTTGTGCCTGCTGCTGTGGCGGCGGCTGCTGGGCGGGGTGGGAATGGGGGTGGTGCTGATGGGCGTGGTAGCCTCCGTGCTGCAGTGGGGGCGGGTGCATGGCCATCACCGGGGGCGGCCCGTAGCCCTCGGACCCCGCTGGCTTCCCCCCGGGTGGGGTACAGCCGTCGGGGCTGGGGGTGTGCAGTGGCGGCGCACCCCCGACGGCAGAGGTGCCCTGGGCGGGTGCCTGCGGCTGTGACTGCGGCGGCGGCGGCGGCGGCTGCTGCTGCTGCTGCTGGTACACGTAGTAGTTGTTGGAGGGCGGCAGGTCCCCAAGGAGAGACGAGAAGCCTGCGGGCGGGGGTAGGGGAGGCAAAGTAGGTCAGGATTTCCACGGGGTTGAGACCCGAGACCTCAGACCCAGAAAAGGCGGCCTTCGAAGGGTAAGGACAGTCTGGACAGCAGGGGCCCCTCCAGCTCTGGTCCCCTCCAGCCCCCAGGCAGGTATAACCGACGGACAGACGGAGCGTCTTGACAGCAGGACAACTGCTGAAATTTTAGCCAAATGTCTGCATGCACCTTTCTATGCTATTTTTCAAGGGTATTGATGTAGGAATCATAGTTTCCAAAGACCTCAGACATCAGATAGAATTCCAAACATGTGTCGGTCAGTCGTGTCTGACACTTTGCAACCCCTTGGACTGCAGCCGGCCAGGCTTCTCTGTCCATGGGGATTCTCCAGGCAAGGATACTAGAGTGGGTTGCCATTTCCTTCTCCAGGGGATCTTCCCAACCCAGGGATCGAACCCAAATCTCCTGCTCAGCAGGCAGATTCTTTACCACTGAGCCATCTAGAAAGCCCCCAAATTAACATAAATATGCTAAAAATTTTTTTTAAATTAGGTTCTTCTCACAAACACAGAGATTAAGAAAAGGAAACTGCTGTCCCCTAGTGGCCATCCTCAGAATGACTTGCTAACAGCCATTAAATAACAGCCCTTAGTTCTAAAGGGGGAGTCCTCCAGCTCACTTACTGCAGTTAAGGAGCCAGCCCACTGCTCCTTGAGACAGCTGTCCTTCAGCACTAAATCAGAAGAGAACTGACTCCAGACAGTTTTGGCTCATGACACACTTTCCTCCCTGACCAGTGATCACCCTCTCCTCGTGTTACACAGCGGAAAGAGGGAGAGAAGAGAATGTCACCATCTGTTCAAAAATACAAGGACACGGACTTCCCTGGTGGTCCATGGGCTAAGACTCCCCGCTCTCAGTGCAGGGGACCTGGGTTCAATGCCTGGTGAGGGAACTAGATCCCACATGCCACAACAAGAGCTCGAATGCTGCAACTAAGACCTGGTACAGCCAAATAAATATTAAAAAAAAAAAAACAAGGACATCCCAGCTCCCCTCCCCAGCCCAGACTCACCGTGCTGAGACGAGGAGGACTTCTCCAGCATGGACTTGTAGAGGTTGCGGAAGGACCAGCTTAGATCCTGAAAATTGATCTCTGAGTAGGAGAATTTGAAGTCATGGTTGGTATTGTAGAGGGGAGGGGGCCCCTCGGTGCTCTCTCGACCTGGACCCGCCGTTGCCACCGCTCCGCCGTCCACAGACCCTGTGCCCTGCAGTAAGAGGCAAGAAAGACTTGGTCCATGTCCTATATGAGGGACCCATACAACACTTTAGTGGAGGCCTGTCCTCTTCATCCTCTCCCATCCTTTCAATGAATGAGCATCATCTTTCTCCTTTTCTCATTCCTACCTTGATGTAGTCTCTTGCCCTTTCCCTGTGTTGCATCCATGCTCATCTTCACTTTCTCAGAACCTTTTCTGGCTCCCTTTCTTGTCCTCTCACCATTTTCATTTTTCTGATCTTTCTTAAAATTTTGTTGTCTCTCTCTGCCTTTTGCGCTCTCCCTCTCTCAGCTTCCCCGTTTCCTTCTTTTGCTTTCTCCTTCTTTCCCAATTTCTCTGCCTGCTACAGCACAGACACTCAATACATAATTTTGAACTGACAGACATATCAATCTATTCGATCACCCACCCATCCACCCATCCATCCATCCCTTATGCCTCCTGCCACCTCCACCTCCCACCTGGCTGTAGCTGGCAATCGATGTGGGGCTCTGGAGTGGCATCTGAGGATTCCCCTCAGGAGGCAGTGAGGCTTCTCCACTCCCTGGAACCCCTCCCCGTGGACTCTTGCTGGCCTCCTGTTCTGGCGAATCCTGGGACAGCTGAGGGTTGTGAAAAAAGAGCAGTCTATAAGCAGATGCTAAACCTCCCCACAAGACCCATGGTTCCATCCTTGCTGGTGTCTGACCTTTACCCCACGTTTAGGAAATGACTGGGAGATGCGGAAGGAGCAGTGGGCTCAGAAATGGCATCTCATTGAGGTGGAGACTTACATCATCATCTGGAGGGTGTCGTCTCTTCCGGGAGATGTCAGGGCAGGTATCAATTGTCCAATAAGAGCCCTAGAAGAACCCACCGCCCGAGAGGAAAAAAAAATTATTATATATGGAAATACCAGCCACTGGAAAAGCAGACATTTGAGAGGATTTTCATATAAAATAGGGCTTCCCTGGTGGCTCAGATGGTAATGAATCCACCTGCAATGCAGGAGGCATAGGTTTGATCCCTGAGTCGGCAAGATCCCCTGGAGAAGGGAATGAACACCCATTCCAGTATTCTTGCCTGAAGAACTCCATAGACAGAGAAGCTTGGTGGGCTTGCAAAGAGTCCATGGGGTCACAAAGAGTCAGACACGACTGAGCGACTGTCACTTCTTCATATAAAATAAGAGCTATGTTAAGAAAAATGACTGGCAATTCACATAGAATCCTGAGAGTAACAGCTATTTTTGAGTACTAAACCAGTCCTAACAGCTCACAGAGTATGTCAGAGGTACCCGCTGTGGTCCAAACACAGGTCTCGATCATACTGAAGATGCAGAACACAGCATCCACCTCAAAGAGCTGCAAATGCCCAAACCAACCTACCCCTTCCATGTGATCTAAGGCAAAACTCTCTGAGACTTTAGCATCCATGGCTGTCCAACAAAGAGGATGATCTATCACTTCTCCCCTTCGAAGATAAAAACCATGAGATTTTTCTATAGAAAAATGCCTCCAAAGCTTATTTTACATCTAGAAAGAGCCTGATACACCAAAAGAGGGCATCGAAGTCAATTTTTTCATGAATATTTCCATCAAGAAAAAATTTCACAGCTTTCCTTGGTCATTCATTCTTGTAAGGACTCATAAGTTTGAAAACCAAGCTCTTCCTCTGAGAGAAAAATAAAGCTGCTTCTCTAATTAATACAATTTCCTCTTCTGGGTAATTAAAACAGCCACAGGACTCTGAGTTGTCAACTATTCTCGTTTCCTTCCTGGTCCTCCCCTCTTGAATTACAGCTCAGTCTCACCTTTCCAGGGTCATCCCGTGGTCTGGGCACCTTCCGGAAACACTTGTTGAGAGAAAGGTTGTGGCGAATTGAATTCTGAGGAAGCAGAGAAGCAAGTTAGATTTGAGTATCATGCAAAGCAGGAAATTTTCCAATAGTTCGCAAAAGGACACAAAAAGGGACATAACACACGCTAAAGTGCAAGTGTCAGGGTAAACTAAGCACCTCATAACCATACTGATGGAGGAAATCACCTATCAGATAGCCAGAGCAATGAGATAAGAAAAAGCAATTAAATTGATGAGCGATAACTGCTGTAAATTTAACTACTTGGTGCTTCTAGAGAGCTGATTATATAATTTTTTCAATCTTTCCACCCAAATCAACCCAACTGACGACAGATATATAAATGCCTCAAAATCACATTTGCACAAAACTAAGTGCCCATCATAGTTGAATGGATAAAGAAGATGTAGCATATAGATATACGGCATATACATATATACACATATACACACAATGGAATACTGCTCGGCCATTAAAAAGAGTGAAATTTTGCCATCTGCAGCAATATGGACCTATTTGGAGGGCGTTATGCTTAGTGAAATAAGTCAGACAGAGAAAGACAAACATTACATGATATCATCTACCCATGCTATCTAAAAAATAGAACAAACTAGTAAATACAACAAAAAAGAAGCAGACTCACAAATATAGAGAACAAACCTGGTAACAAACCAGGTTACCAGTGAGGGGAGGGAAAGAAGTAGAGGCAATACCCAGGTAGGGAATTAAGAGGTACAAACTATTATATATAAAATTGGCTGCAAGGATATATTGTATTGATACAATATGGAGAATAAATACAGATTTTATATTAACTATAAATGAAAGTATAACCTTTAAAACTGTGAAACACTATACTGTACACCTGTAACTTAATAATATGGTATAGCAACTATACTTCAATTAAAGAATCACATCTGCTCAGCTCCTTAATTCATTCTATCAACAGTGAAAGAACATTTTAAAACTAATGATGTGGGAATTCCCCAGAGGTCCAGTGGTTAGGACTCCAAGCTTTCACTGCCAAGGGCACAGGTTTGATCCCTGGTCGAGGAACTGAGATCACACAAGCCACAGTGGCACAGCCATGAAAAAACAAAAACAAAAACTGATGATTTAAATGATAACAAAATACAAATTATAAGTGAAACCAGGTACAATTCACCTTTTTGTCTTCTCAAGAGCCCATGGAATGGTCACATTTGGAGGAAAGAAATACTGTTGCATACATGCCTTAGGTGAAGTTGGTGGGGGCTGTGGCAGCTAGTAGGAACATATTTATAAAGGAAAAACTGAATGCTTTCAACAGTCTCCCAGCTCATCATCTGGCTTGCATGTAAGCTGATGATTTATAGAATGACACAGCTACATTAAATCCCCATTTCTACTCAACAACTGGCAAGTGAGTGATTGCTCCCAAGGACTGAGAACATCAGCCTTCCTTCCATGCGTGGAAGAGGAGGCACCTTTTTCCTTCATCTCCAGCCAAACCACTTATCCTCTCCTTCCTTGCTTGGTGGATGAGCTGCTGGGGAAGGACCTAATTACATTATTTTTTTTTCTTGGTACATAGTTTTTAAAAAGATAATGACTGTGTGCAATAGAGCTCTGCAAACCAGATGAGGTTCAATCTCTAGGTAGGATGGAGCGATTCCATGCCTTGCATGTGACTTCAACAGAGCAGAATGCCAATAAATATCTGTGAAATAAACCAAGGGACAAGAGGGTAGGATGAGCGACTTCCTTGGTGGCCCAGTGGCTAAGACTCTGTGCTTCCAATGCAGGGGGCCTGGGTTCAATCCCTGGTCAGGGAACTAGATGTTGCATACCATGACCAACGGTTCACATGGCACAACTAAGACCTGGCACAGCCAAATAAATGAACAATTTTTTTTTTTTTAAAAAGGGTATGGTGAGCATCAGCATCCTGCCATACCATAACTATACTCAGAGGTTTGGTATCGCTGGAATTTCCCAGATACACCCTATGAAAGTTGTTCAACTCTGAAAAATAAAAAAGTAAGGGATGGGGGATTTGAGATTTTTAAGTTCACACATCTCTGAGACAGCTCAGAGCGAAGTGGACCAGGTTATAGGAAGACACAAAAGTAGAGGAAAGTGTTGTCGAAGCTAAGAACCATCTCAGGGCATAGAACTCTCCCACCTTCCAACCAATGCCTGCATTCTTGTAATAGGGGAAGTTGTCACAGATCCAGCGGTAAATCTCACTGAGGGTCATCTTCTTAGCTGGAGAGGAGTTGATGGCATAGGTGATGAGGGTGGCGTAGCTGTACCGGGGTTTGCCATCCTGGTGAACGGCAGCCTCATCTTTGCTCAGGGTGGCATTTGGATCTGTGGGGGAGCCTGGTGGACATTTGCGGCTCCCACCAGGAGGCCCAGCCTGGGAGGCACTTCCCAGCTTCTCGATGGTGGCCCGGAGGGTCAGCTGGGGAAGCCAGTCTATGGAGGTGAGGCTGCTCTCTAGGTCAGAAGCCATGGTATTTCTGGATTCTGCAGAGAAGAGAAAAATAGAATAGACAAGTGTTACCTGTGGTCATTTGTGGCAAGTAATACCAAATCTTAGGGCTTTCAGGGAAGGAGAGTTTCTTCTCTAATTCCTATAGAAGACTCCACTCACAAGATAACCAGGTTCCCAGAACCTTCAAATGCATACGTCACCAATCACCTGCCAGATGACAGACTGGCACTTCTCCTGCATCTTCGCATGGACATGGCCAAGAGGCCTCTTGCTTCACGCAGGATGAAAAGGGAGATCAAACCACCCAGCAAGTCAAGCTGTTCCTCAATTCTCCTTACTTAAAGCCCTACAACATAATATTTTAAAGCTTCGTGGAGGGCTTTGCTGGTGGTCCAGTGGTTAAGAACCCACTTTGCAATGCAAGGGAGACCGGTTCAATCCCTGATTTGGGAAGATCCCACAGGCTGCACAGCATCTAAGCCCATGCACCACAACTATTAAGCCTGTACTCTGGAACCCTGCAGTCACAACAACTGCACACACATGCTGCAATTACTGAAGCTAAAGCCAGTGCTCGGCAGCTCGTGCACCGAAACTACAGAAAGCCTGAGTGCAGCAAAGAAGACCCAGCACAGTCAAAAAAGAAAATAAATAAACCTAAAAAAAACAAAAAACAAAAACACCTGTGTCGAAATGATTTCTTAAAAAACCACTTAGACAGCAGGTAAAACCCGCCAAAGTTTATTCTCCAATTATGTGTCACCTGTTATATTTACATTCAACGTCCACAGAGAGACAGCACGAGCGAATGTGTAAAGAAAAACAGAGTTAACACAAGTATACCCTAATGAAGCACACATCAACACTTTCAAAGGTATTTCGCATTAGTTCCATCCCCAGTGCTCGCCCTTGGATCCCACATCCATGTGCACATGAGGAGTATTAGCTACGTAAGTGTGACAACCAGCCAAACAGGGATGCCAGACAGACAGCGGCCCACGACCAGAGATCATAAGGAGATACACGGCATACGTTACCCACGGGACACAGACTCACAACACAGAGGGCGCGGGCGGCAGCGGTGCTACCCTCGCACCTTTAAAGCACCGCCCCCTCACGAGTCCCCGCCCACAGACGGCGACACCAGGAAGAAGTCACTGGTGAGGCCCTCCCACCCTTCGGCCCGTCCGGCTGCACCGAGCCAGGGAGACACCCAGCTGTGCGCACACCGGTAACAATCAGATAGGCGCCTAAAAATAGCCACTCTGGGGCTCAGGGTTGGCTCCCCTTCTGCGGCCGCCTCCTCCTCTCTCTTGCCTTCCCGGCCAGGCACGCACGCTCGCGGCACCTCCATGCAAACTCCTGGCGCTGCCAACCCGCCCACGCCGGCTGTCTGCACGCCCTGCCGCCACCCACGCGGCCTGGGCGCTCTCTCAGGCGGAGGGGTGCAACCGGAGTGACGTCTGGGTGGGGGAAGGTGAAGGACAGTGGGTGAGATTTGCATTGCAGGGGTTGGAAAGAGTGGCAGGATCCCCTCGGTAGCCATTTGCACTTACCTAGGGTGGAAACCAGCACCACCCCACCCTACTCCACCCCCACCCCCACTCTACCCCATCCCCCTTCCCCCACCCCCCCACCCCATCCCCTTAGCCCCCCCCAACCCCGCCCAAGCACACAAACATACATCAGTCGTGCCTGCATACTCAATCGCTAAGTCGTGTCTAACTCTTTGCGACCCCATGGACGGTATAGCCCACCAGGGTCCTCTGTCCATGGGATTCTGGCAAGAATACTGGAGTGGGTTGCCATTTCCTCCACCAGGGAACCTCCCGACGCAGGGATCAAACCGCCTCTCCTGCACCGGCAGGCAGATTCTTTACCACTGAGCCACCAGGGAAGCCCTCCTGGGAAGCGTCCTGCCCCTCCCCACCGCCCCACCCCCACGATTGCTGCCGAACCACCTTATGCCTGCACTGTTGGCCCGGTTCCAGCTGGGGTTTCTTCCTCAGACCCCTGCTGAAGGGGTAATCACTCTTGAGGAGCCAAGGCTAACAAGTCTCAGAATCCTGGACAGAAAACATATTGCGTGTGTAACCCCTAAATCCACACTCACATATTGTGTACCAGCGTCACATACAACTATACGCAAATCCACACACTGTAGCTAGAAGCTCAGTCGCACGTATGGGCCCAGTCTCCTGCCTCCAAAACATCTTTCCGGCTATCGGCTCACTCTCCTGGTTCATAACACGTCTGGCCTGGAGACTTTCTCCCAAGGGTCAGCATGCTCACTCATCCCCTAATCTCTCAGTTCCCCACCCACACAGTCTCTGCATGCATGTGCAAGTCCTGGAGCTCCTCACCAGCAACACATCAACTCCGCCCACTCTGTACTCAAGGAAACACCTTAGTGCCTCACGGGCCTGGGCAGCATGAGCCCCAACAGCAACCCAGGCTGTTTATAAATAGCATCGCGAAGGGAATTCCCCTTTATCCTGAGCTCCTCTCCCCACCATCCTCCTTTCCCATCCCACCACCACCATTTTGCCCTAAAACAGTGGAAACTTGGAGACTAACAGGGACACTGAATCATTCCAGGAAGCCTCAGAGCTCCTGGCAATTTACTAAGGCAGAGCAGAGCAGCTACTGGGGTAAAGAAGGGTGCATTCCGCAGCCATCTGGTTCTGGAGCTATGTTAGCCCAGCTGAACAGGAACATGGCATGAGCAGGTTCACAATGACCAGGGTTCTCCTGGGTTTCTAAGGCCATTTTACCCTATTATTTCCTGCTAAAGATCCTGGGAAGTTTCACCTTAAGAACACAGCAGGGGGCAGGGGGGGGAGAAAAAGAACACAGCAGGGGCTTCCCTGGAAGCACGGCGGATAAGAGTGCCTGCCACCACTGGGGACACAGGTTCGATCCCTGATCTGGGAAGAGATTCCACGTGCCACGGAGCAGCTGGGTCCATGAACCACAACTACTGAGCCCTCATTCTAGAGCCTGTGAGCGGCAACTACTGCAGCCAGTGCTCGGCGACAGGAGGGGCCACTGCAGTGAGAGGCAGCCAAGAGTAGCCTCCACTCAATGCAACTGGAGAAAAAGCCCACGCAAAGCACTGAAGACCCTGCCCAGCCAGAAATAAAAATAATAAAAGAAGGAAAGAACACAGAAGCCTTCAGGGGACATTTCATTTGCAACCCTCCCGACACTGGACAGGGAGGGACAGGAGGATACAATCAAAGCGGTTTACAGAACCCACTTGGCAGGTGCCAATCACTGTGAATTCTGTAAAGGTAAGTGCCCTCAGCCTTTTGCTGGTTCTGTGCCCTTCTCTAGCCTTTCCCCAGCACCAGGTTAGGACACTGAGGTTAAATTTAACCTTTCTCCAGCACCCTCCCAGCCAGCCCTCCAGCAACCGCCCCAGCACTCAAAATATCTTCCAATCTTACCAGCTACAAGCCACTTACAGCAAAAGATCCTCCTGATTTCTCAGCACCATTCTCCCTAAACCCATCCCACTTCCTTACCCCCATCACTTCCCCATTCTTGAAGGGCAGCCCAGCGTGTAGAACCTCAGAGAATGGTTCTATTATGAACCTTGACACCTACGCGCTGAGTCTCCCTAACCACCCCTTGCTCCCTGAAGTCTTCCTGCCTCAGTTTCCCTCTTCAATAAAAGGGACGCCGTCATAAACACTGTCAAAGCTTCATTCCTGGAGAGATGTGAATGAAGCTTAAAGAGCTGGTGGCTGCCACACATTCCACATTCCCCCAAAATAATGGCACCAGGCTAGTGTTCAGGGCTATTATTAGAAAGGTACACAAAAGGTACTTCCATTTCTCAGTCCAACCAACCCAGTTACCCAGACCTCTCTCTGCAGGTGGGCCTTGTGCCATGGGGCTGGGGCAGAACCTGAGTCAGGCTACATTCTTCTTTGCAAGCTGGAAGACTGAAAGGAAATACCCATAGAAACTGGGAAAGGCAGCCAAAGGGCAGGCTCCATCACATCCATGGAACGTCTAATGAAGACTACACTACTGGGAGAAAGAGAAAAACAGAAAGACATTCTGGTGGAGGGGAAGACTGATCCCAGGTGAGACGTGTAAGACCCCAGATAACAGGCACAGTGTTTTTCCCATTTTCTCTGAAAGGCCAGTAACTGTACAGAAAACAGTGCCAAGGTCAGGCATTAAGGAATGATAACTTCTTGCTCTGTACCTAATGCAGAAACTAACAGAGCAGTGGCTAAGTTTGCCATCTTGCTGATTACCAGCCCGGCTGTCTGGGTTTCAGTCCTGGCACCACAGCCTACCTACTGGCTGTGCAACCTCGGGCAAGTTACTTAACCTCTCTGTGTTGCAGTTTCTTCATTGGAAAATGGAGATGATAACTTGTCTATACATAGGGTTGTTGGGAGGATTACCTTGAGTTAAAATTTTTAAAGCACTTAGTGAGTGTTATGTAAGTGTAGCAATGACTATTTTTGAATGAGAAAAAAGAGAGAGAATAATAGACATTGAAAATTAGGAATATGGACAGACCATACAGGTAGGCCTGGAAGAAGCAGAAAACCTGCAGTGAGTTCACAATAGTTTTCAGGATGACAGAATCTCAAACTTTCCTTTGGAGAGAGTGTCACCCCCCTCCCCCCCAAGGACTGACCAATGCCAGGACTAGTAAACTCCCAAGGATGAAGAAATGGGATAATATCATCTCTTCTTTTCCAGGGGGGACTAGGTCGAGTCATAAGATGTGATCTGGAAAATATCACCCTCTAAGTCATAATTAATCCAACCCAATAGCTGTCTGCCCCTAACTGATCCCACGGAGGCAAGGAGAATGAGGGAGACTGAGTCCCAGCACGGCCACTTAGGCTGTGTGGCGGTGGGTCACCTGGACATGCCCTGGTCCCGTTGGCTCTGGGCCATTCAACAAGTAGCCTTCTGGCATCTGCTAAAGTGCTTTGTGGGAAACAGGCTGCTGTTCTCCAGAGCCAGCTCTTTTCAAACAAAAATGGGGGAAGGAGTTCTAGAGTAAACAACCGAGGATCCTCATGCTTATTAGACCAGAGACATCAGAGCTGAAGCTCTCTATCAATCCTAGCAAAAGTGGTCCCAGCCCGAGACTGGGCTGCAGCCACTCATGAGGGCTCCCGCTGGCCAGGGCAGGCCAACCCTGTCCTCCCAGCTGGGCATCCTTACCAGCATTCTCCCCACTTTCCTGCACCGGCGCACCTGTTTTTAGCAACCTACCAGAAACACACAATTCTAGGTAATTGGAGCCTAGTCTGACAAGCACACATAGACTTGGCCTTGCACCCCTCATGGGATGCATGATGGGGACAGAGCCACTTCCGCGTGAAGTAAGAAACAGACGCAAGTTGTTTCACGGCGCAGCTCTACAAACCTAGACTACAGCCCTATCTCATGGACCACGACCAACAGGTAGCTTCCAGGACACAGCGGATGTACTTAGAGATCCAGGCAGTTCACCCAATGGCCAAACAAAGGAGGAAACATATAAACCCAAATAAGATGAAGCATCCCGGGACTTCCATGGCTAAGACTTTGCACTCCCTACTCAGGGGACCTGGGTTGAATCCCTAGTTTGGAAACTGGATCACACATGCTACAACTAAGCTCCAGAGCAGTCAAATAAATAAATAAAAATAAGAGAGAGAGAGAAAAAAAAGATGAAACCTCTCACTTGGATTCACTGTGGGGTCAACGCTCCTTACAGGAGACAAAGTATTTCCTAGTGGCAAGACAGGAACACAGGCACCTAGCTGGGGATCCCAGGTTGACAGGCAGAGCGCTACTAAATCCACAGCCCAGGCTCCACCAAAAGGATGTCCTGGCACCTTTTTCTTGCCTTTTCTCAAGATCCTGGACTTTGACAGTTCCTGCTATTTTCCTATGAAAGATAACATACATTCAAGGTTCCAGAGACCCAGAACTTGCACACAAAACAGGAAGAGATAGAATGAAGCTATCAGGTGATTTTCTGAAAAGAAATTCCTTGGGGGTCAAATCTCCCTGGTGGTCAGCTTATTTCCAGGGAAGACTGGAAGTAAGCTGAGCATCACCCCTCCCCTCCTCTTCTCCAGGGTCTGCCTTTTCCTGGGAAATTGTCAGCAAAGGACAGGAGCGGTGACAGTGGGACCCGGCCGGCATTAGGGACAAACTTCAACCCAAGAGTTGGCATTCCCTGCAGACCTTCTTCTTGCCTTGGGACATGGGATCTCCATTTTACCTGTGGATGTTATGCTTCCATCCAGGAATGGAGATGTCATGAGGGGAGGCTGGGAAGCAAAGTGGGTGGAGACAGACCACTTTTCTTATAAAGAGAGCAGT